TCTGGGGGCAGCCTATGAGCTGTACATGTGGGCCACGCCCTGCTGGGACCAGGGGAACCACCCTTCCTTAGCCCCTCCATATGGCCCCCCACACCCATACCCCCCTCCACAATCCACCCACAAACTTCACACCCCCAAGCCACCTCCACAAACCTCACACCCCCAAGCCAACTCCACAAACCCCTCACCCCCTTACCTGGCCCTGTGGGTCAGGAGTGAAGGGACTGAGGCGGGGGCAGACTGTGGGTTGAGAGTGAGGGGCAAGGCACTGGCATAGCTGTGCTGCTCAGCGCTGCACATCTTGGTAAGCAAAGGGGATGGGGCGGCTCTGACTTGTCTATGGCAAAAAAGCCAAAGTGTATATTCTATTTAGAATCTATTTTATTATGATGATAGAGGCACTGGTAGGCTTCCAAATTGCTTTAAACTTGTAAATATATTAATAAACCTTTGCCCAACTGATCTCTGTGTATAATGGAATTTCATTTTAATAATGAAAGAACACTATTTTGGGTATTTTAATGAGATAATTTGAGTTTCTTATCAGAGAATTTGCAGTTTTTAAATAGGGAACACCAGGATCTCTTCTGGTGAGACAAATGGCAAGACCCAGGCAGAGGAGTCTGTCCAGGGCCAGCAGTGGGGACCCAGCTGGCAGGCAGACGAGGTGGCTGACCTGTTGACAATTTGGGGCCAAGAGGATACACTTCAGAGTGGGCCACTGCAAAGAGCGCATCTTCTGAGCAATAGCCGCCCAGATGGCAGAGCGGGGGCACCCCATCCAGGTCTGGCAGGCATGCAACCATGAGGGCCGCAGGTCAAAGGGGGCAGATGCTGTCGCAGGTGGCAGCAGCTCACACCCAGGCAGCAGCCCCCACTGCCAGACTGCTGCAGTACAATGAGCTGGGGCCACTCCAGGTCAGGGCTGCTTCAGCAGTCTGACTGGCACGAGGGGTAGTGTCCCCAGTAGAGATGATCCGTGCAGGGCCCGGGGCAAATCAGCCTGTATGGGGCCCCGTCTCTGGACTCAAGCTGGTGGGTGGGTGGGGAGGGGGTGCCGAGTGGCTGGATGTGAAGTTGGTGGCAGTGCAGAGTCACTGCAGTCGCCCCGCCTGTCTCTAGGGTCTGGGGCAGTTGCCCTGGTTGCAGCCCTTCTCCCCAGGAGAGACCTAGTTCCCAGATACCAAATGGCTGGGCATCACAAGCTCCTGAGGGCAAGTAGCCCTGAACTGCTTGCATGGGCAAGTTTTTATATTGCACATGTGCTGGCCCCAGGCTCTAGCTCCCCTGGCTGCAGATCTTGGAGGAGCTGGGCAGGGTTATTTTGCCCCAAGTGGCACAATTTGCCCCACACCAAAGTGCACGTCCAGGCATGTGCGCTGAGGCAAAAATCCCTGGCTCAAATTTGCTGCTCCTGTTTGAGCTGCTGCAAGCACACATGCCTGCATGTGTGGATACACCTTAAGAGTTTATTGTAATACTATTCAGCTCTTTTTGTACTTCAACTTTCATTTTTCTCTGTGCTATTTACCATGGTAAATATGCAGGCTGTCTTTATAGTTAAATTCTTCCTCATTGGTTCCTTTACTGGTGCCACTATTTAAGTATATGAGGCAAGTACTGTAAGTAGTAGTAGTAATCTGAATCAAAATCCTAGATTGACATATCAGAGTTGGTTGAAAGGATTACAGGCTTATTTACGTATAGTGCTATTCAGGAATAGCAGTCCCTGAATTACTTTGTGTAAACACTTATTCCATAATGAAGTATTCCTTGTTCTTCTTTTTTTTAATTTTAGATGAAGTGAAATGGGAACCAGGAATTCTTTCTACTGGAATAAATATTTACACATGGAGTGTATTCAGGAATATTCAGCTATTCCTGAATATAGTTCTGTGTGTATTTTGGTTTTTCATTTTTGCTATACATTTGGTTTTGCTATCAGTTAAGTGGAAAAGAAGTGGGGAAAAAAAGATGTCTCAGTTCAGTGGGTGTTAGTTTAGAAGAACCAGTGACAGGATCATCTCAAGCCATCTGTGGTTGTTCATATTTTTGCAGAAAGAACTGGGTTAACAGAGATGATTAACTGACAGAATAGTAACATACCCTGTGGAGTTTCTGAAGAGAAAAGTTCATGATTATATTGTGAACTTCAGTGTGGTAATTGAATTTAGAACTTTTTTTAAAATATTTGAAAATCCACTTCTCATTTTCTTTGTCAGCATCTTAATTAAAGAGTGTTATACAGCACAGCATAGCATCATGGTACATGGAGAGCCATCATTGATCCGTAATTCCGAACAGAAAAGGTTTTTAGATGTCGCAAGGCAAGTGCAAAATCTTCATCATAAGTTTTGGAGTTCAGAAGCAGTAATGTAGTAGCAGAAAAGTAAAGGAGACAGAAACAATGTTATCTTTTTCAACACATTTGTAATGAACATTTTTATATATTCAAAACAGTACTAAACATATTTTAAAAAGCTTTGAATTGTAAAGCTTTTATAATAATTCAGATGTTTAAGGTAAGCACTCTTAACATGGAGGAGTTAATATTATGGGGCTTTTTATTTTGCTGATATTAACCCTGTTATTGAAAATGGGATGAATTCTGATTATTCAGTCCTTATTCAGAATTTGTCTATTGAAGTCAGTGGCACTTCGCCTTAGACAATTATGGATTTTTGGATCCATGATTTGTGCCTGATTACAGAAGAAACAAGCATAGGATTTTTTAGGAAGGCTTTGTCAACTGTTAACTCTTTGGTATAAATTTATAATACAATGCAGTCTTCACATACTGAAAACTAGCTTCCTAAGATGATTTCATCAAGGTGGCTTCCACCATTAGTCAGGAATGATAATTGGAATTGGTATCCTTTTTCAGATTCATTTTATTAATGGTGAGTTGCTGCTTATCTTAATTTCTGATTTTTACACTAAAATAGATGGAAGAGTTTTCATTTTTCTTTAAGTCTCTTCAATTCCCAGACAAAAATCTGTATTAAAGATTTCCTTAGAGTGTAGTTAAGATTGAGAGTACATACATGCCATTTAAGGCTAGAAAATGCTGGTCGTGTAGTCATGCCTAAAACAACCATTAACTTCAATTCTCAGTTTACTGGTTTTGTAATCTCAAGTCCAAACAACTAACTCTGCCTTGTTGTTATAGGTACCTTAACTGTGCATTTCTGTATCTTGATTTCTGGATTTTATTGCAGTTGTGTAGTATATCTCTGATTGGTAATATCAGTCTTGTAGCATCTACTGTAACTGTTTCCAGGGGAGGCAGTATCAAGGCATTCTTGTTAGTCTTTAGCTTTTCTTATGAGTTGGAAACAAGGAGAGAGCCAGTACCATGTGACCATCACCTTTTAGCAGAACATTAAGTGCTGCGTGAACTCCAGTTTAGAACTGCTTGGTTGTTTGGTTTGGTTTGGTTTGTTGGGGGTTTTTTGTTGTTTTTTTTTGGGGAGGGGGGGTAGTTTTGTTTTGTTTCATTTTGATAACCCCACCCATAACTGTTTGTTGAAGGAATAGTGGAGTCAGAAGTTTAAAATCTAAAATTCTGGTTTACTTTATGCGCCTAAATGGCAGTTTTCCAGCTGCAGAAGCAGCTTTTTAGGCACTGTATGCACTGTGTAATTGTGTTGTCTCTGCAGAAGGAGTGGGGATGGGGGTCAGGTGGGAGCAGGGGTAGAGAGTGAGCGAGGCAGGTATAACCCTCCAGTGGTTTAGCTCTCTTTTCCACTGCCCCTTGAATTTAATAGATGATGGACAGTACTGCAGAGAAGTTTCTGCCTTGAAGCCCCAATCCTGCAAACACTTTAGCATGTTCTTTAATTTGCGTAAGGAGTCTCTCTAAAGTGGGAGAAACTACCCAAGAGAGCAAATTGAAGCATATGTGTGCAGAATGAGGAATTTAGTTCTGAACGTAGTCCTGGATCTGTTCTGAATGGTTCAGTGATCAAAGACAACTTTGGTTCCTAATCAGATTTTGAAATCATGATATCACTGTAGAAGTAAAAATAGATCTTTCTCTTTTTCTTTTTTTTCCTTTCCATCAGGTTCTCTTCTTTTGGAGTCCAAAATTAATCCAAACACTGCGTACCAGAAGCAACAGGTAAACATATTAGCTTTTATTTTACTTTGCCTCCTTTTTTTTTCTTCTTTCTTAAAAAGGAAAAGTCATCTTAAAGGAGTTTGTTTTTTTTTTTTTTTTTTTATAGTCTTCTTACTGCAAGTGACAGTGTGTTTCTCTGCAATATCATCAGAGAAATTCTTTTCTTTTTCTTTCTTTTAGTTGTTTTGTGCATTTTCTAGTATTTTGTATGTGGTAAATTTCACTGCTTTTGTATAATCAGTTCCCCATTAATATTTGTGTATTTTATATAGTAACAAAAGAGAAATATCTGGAAAAATAAGAAAATATGATTGTAAAACATAAATTAGCAGGGGCTACTAGCGTACCTGAAATTCTTTAAAATTATTTTTTGAAACTGAATCTATTTCAGGTAACTTGATGAGTTGTTTCCTCCTCCACCCTGCCTCCCCTTTATATAAACACATTTTTTTTAGTTTAAAGTACTGTATGTATATGTAAATTTCCATTTTCTTGGTGGAAGATGTTTTAAAGTTTTATGAGGCAGTGTTCAGAACATGTCATAGCTTTCCAAACAGCTAGAAATATTAATGCCTGCTTTTTTTTTTGTTGCAATTCTGGAGTTGACTGCTCTTTTGCCTGTAAGTAGTCTGCATTGCTAGCTTGGGGAGCACTTCAGTGAAAAGTGCAGTAACATAGAATTTGGGTGTCTTGTTAGAAAGCACATTTATAGCACAATGTAGATGGCCTCTAGATCTTATGTTAAAGTTGGTTTGTATGAATAAAGCTGATTAGAAAATAATTTTAACAATGGTTGAGAGAGTGTTAGAAAGCCTCAGTAATATATCGTGTTATCTGAGCAAAGATGCCTGTAAAATTATATATAAGCTTTACTCTCTTTTAATAAACGTTTAGAAATTTTTAGGGGCAAAAAAAAAAAGAGTTCAGAATGTTTGTAAATGTTCAGCTTATTTGAATAGATTTTTTTTTTCTTTCAAAGATCTTCCTTCCTTCCTATAGAATAAGAATTAGATTCCAAACCTCTAGGGGGGGAAAGCTTACTTCTGAATTCTTATGGTTACAACCTGATGCCCCCTCTACCTCTCTTTTTTCCTCCAACTGGATCAGTATTCATTAAGAGAGCCGTTTTTTGTGTAGTATTCATTGCAGCTTTTTTCAGTTTCCTGTAGTGAATAGAGGTACACTTGGTTATCTCTGCTTTTTTTCCTTTTCTGAAGCTGCCGAGCTGTGCACTATAGCAACTCACTCAACCTGGGGAGAGTCAGAATCTATATGTATTGCTTTTTCATTGATGTAGGACCTGAGAAATTTTGAGAAATTTGCCATACTGTCAGCTGTCTACCTTACATCTCTACTGCTGATCTACATGAGTAGAGTCATTCTGCGGCCTAGATCTGCTTTTAGCAAATGAATTATCGTATCCATCTCAACCGTAATAGATTCAGCATGAACAGAGATTCCTGGCATAACGGCAGTTAGACAAATATTGATGCCCTAGAATAAATCATCTAGGCTTCAGTTCTAGCTTTCACGGTTGGGAGTGTCTGTCATTCATCAAGCTGGTTGTACATAGACTTAAGAGGAGCATCGATTGGCCTTGCTGTCTGACATTCAGGTCCCACAATGTCAGTGTAGACTTGAAATTTGAAACAACCTCACTAAATGAAATCTAATGAAATTTCTTATTTTGTTTTTTGTTGTTGTTTTGGGGGGGTTGGTCTAGAAACAGAAAGCAGAAATTAGCTTTTACTTTAGATTGTACTTATACATGGTGACAAAAGCCATAATACATGTATTTTAATTGGGGGTGAACATCTCTATTTAGGATTATTTTCATGTCTCTTAGCTCTGAAAAACGAAATGTAATGGGGCACTTGTAACAGATACCAAAGCTATCCTGGGTCTCCCTACTACTCTAATAGGAAATGATAATCCTTTCCATGTGGTTTCTGTAGCGGAATTACCACCAGTGTCCTCCCCCCCCCCCCCCCCGAGCAAGT